CATCAATCGGAAAGATCTCAGTTGGAATGGCAAAAAAGTGTGCATGTAAATGGGGCTACTGCCAGAGTTACAATGGATAGCAGTATACGACCATTTGTAGCGGCCCATAAAACAATCCACCCTTCTTGTGGGATTTCATACCCAAACGTACATACTCCCAAAACAGACATCTGGGGCGGAACAAAGAAACAGAAGCCATTCACCTTAATAAAAGTCAGAACATTTTTAGAAAGTCATAGGTAAAACAAAACGTCCATACAGTTGCTTTAAGTCTTTGGCACAGCATTCTGTAGTGAATGAACAAAACATGTTCTCGAACTAAAATTTTCTAACTAAAACAAAAGGGGGCATGTCATTCATTCAGTCCAGTGAAAACTGTTTAACAGGTATGCAAAATAGCAATTTCTGAATGTGTAAAAATTACTGATGAGCATACATAATTAAAATAACGCTAACTGGCAGTAGGCTTTTGGGAATGTATTGCTTTGATGCACAACTGGTTGCCCATCACTGTTAAAGGACATTATAATACAATTATCATATAACTCGTAAATCATTTAAGCAGTCTATTGTTGTCTGTTTTCTATGGCAAGACAAAAAAGCTAAGCTCAGCAGTCCCACAACAAACTATTGGAAACAATAACAGATTGACACTATTTGCCTTTGTAGATTTGTAGATGCTGGTTTTACTCATTTATATGATAATAAGACTCTTTGGTAGTAAACAATTCAGTGCGGTCCAAAAAGTGGTCAAAAATACATTTCTCCATTGATGGGCATTCAAGACTTGCAACGCAAGCAACATTAAACTGCAAAAGATTCATTATATTATACTATCGTAGATGTTTCACCAATATCAGACATTTTGGGGGAATTCTCAATAGTATCAAATGGATTTTTTGATGTCTCGTCCATGACATTTAGTGACTCAGGTGATTGGCTCCAAAAATGTGTGTTCATAATGCAAAGATGGCAGCATTCAGGTCAATCTGCCATTGAACTGAATGGGAATGCAAACTCACTGACGCAACCTACTGCACAAATCTAAACAACCAAAACCAAAAGGCTCCAACTAAAAGTCACTAGGATGAATCAAAATACACAATACTAATACATAAGGAGCAATTGTACAATCAAAATGGGCTTCCGAGTCATTCAACAAGATTCACAATCATTGATCTTGGTTATAGATCTATTATATTTAGTACCAAAATACACTTAAAATCTGTATTGCGGCAATTTAATGAGAAAATCCTGTTGGTTTGACACTGCAGTCGCTCAAGATTTAAATACAGAACAGTCTACAGAGGCACAGGCAATTTGTCTCTTTTTATTTCTTTCTCTGTTTGTCTGTGTCTCTCCATCTCTCTCTCTGTTTCAGATCAACAGGACTGCATGAATAATACATGAACTGTCCATCATTTCGGCACATTATACCCCTCCTGTCATCTTCTGTGCCTCGGTGACACATCCATATTTACACACATAGACTTTTTTTTCACCGTTTGGTCCATTCCCTCACTTATCATCTGCAATCTGTCCACTTCTTCACTCAATACAATCACACACACACAAACCTATCTAGCATGAGAGGCCAGGATTGGACTTGATAAATGAAAACCAGTTCTTGAACTTTTACATTTAGTCCCCCAATCTCTAATATTTGGTCCATTCTAGTGAGTAACTCCATCTATCAATGACATAAATCAACAAGACAGAGAGAGAGCGAGAGAGAGATGCAATAATCAGTAATAATCCTGAAGCTTCACCATTTCTTAACTATATAGATCAGTGATGGGCAAACTTGGCCCTTCCAGGCCACTTTCCTGCAGAGATTTGATCCAACCCTGATAAAACTCACCTGCCTGTAGCTTTCTAGTAGTCTTGAAGACAATGATTAGCTGGTTCAGGTGTGTTTGATTGGCGTTGGAGCCAGTGTTCGAACTATACCGTGGACTTTGGGGGAGCCCACTTGTTGTTGTTTTTTTGTGTGTGTGTGTGTGGGGGGGGGGGGGAGGGTTGTGCGCTTGCGCATGCCTCAAAAGAGAACTTACAATGACTTACAAAGATACAGAACAGCTACAAGTGTATGCACTACTTGCTTTATGCAAGCACTATATAGGATAAATCACTATACAGGATTTACCCTATTATACTTTATCGACACGAATTGATAGGTGAAACAACAAACAGCCACCCACAAATAGTCTATAAACAAAGCATCAGGCTGTCTTTGAGTTCACATGAACAACGGTCGTCAGGCTACAGAAGAATACCATAATTCCTCCGTTCAGTTAGGCCTAAGACATCGAGAGTCACGCAGACCTATAACAACCCAGCCACAACACATAATTGCGAATAACATGCCTTACCTTAACACAGAATCGACCACAGAGTCCAGCGTTTATATTTTTTCTACGAATCTTTAAGTTAACATGTACTAAACATGAGTGGAATTTGCACCGCAGCGCCCCCACACCTTGATGCTCATGATAAGAATAGTTAATTTAAATATCTTAATTTAAGTGAATTAGGTTTAAATCGCCGTCATGCATGAATGAATGATATTTTTGCAATTTTTCACATAATAATCCACGATGATCACATTACACAAAACTGAAATTGCACGTCAAAATAACGTGCACAGAAACAATATTTTTTGGGACCCCCCAAAATTTCACAAATCCCGTTTTCAGGGGAGCCCAGGTCTTTTTAAGGGGAGCCGAGCTCCCCCTAGCTCGCACCCTGGTTGAAGCTAACCTCTGAAGGAAAGTGACCTGAAAGGGCCAAGTTTGCCCACCCCTGGTATAGATAAAGCCCTGTGGATGTATACAGAAGCAATGGCACTTTGTATAAGGGGTTTGCTTGGTTTGAAGCTCATACTAAAGTCACAATTTCCTTGTCATCTGTATTTAATAAAAACAAGTAATTAAAGGAAGAGTAACAAGCATGAAAGTTAAATATGTCTCATAGAAATAGTAAAAGAGGGGGTGAGGCTCCAGATTGTGTTTAACATCTCTACAGTCTGTTCGTGATTCGGTATTTGTTCCTCAAAACAAGTTATCTCATTAAACGTTTTGGCGTTTTTAATCGAACACAATTAATGGGTCACAAACCCACAGTTGTGATCACTCATGTGATACCATTTGCAAAAGCATCTCTTTATCAATTAGCCTACCTCATAAAATTAAAGACACATAATAATAAAACAGCATCTGAGACAAAAACTTGACCACACGCTTCCCGCGTCAACCTTGAAGCGCGGGAAAATTGAAAGTACAGGGCTACATCAATTAACTTAATCAATTAACTCCATCAGTCACACCCCAATCAATTAAACCATCAACAAATACACTCCCTCAACATGTACAGGCTTTCGATTACCTGACTGAAGTTAAATCCCGACTGAGTGAGAGCACCTGCTGACTGATTGTGTATTAGTGGTTGTTCGTTTGTGAAAGAATCAATACTTTAAATGAATCTTTTAAGTGAACGAATCGTTATTATCGTTCAGTTTGACGCTTTTGTTCTCTGTTTGGAAGCGTGTGACTTCCTAACAAGAACCAATACCATTTGTGCACATTCTCTAATGGCGAATTTCATTGGTTGAACATGCTGAAGGAATACGCCCCCTTCACTAAACGAATCACCTGAACAAGATTCGAACGATACATTCAATTTGTAAAGTTGACGTAGCATTGAAGCAAATGAAGGAATTAAGCTTTAACAAATCCTTATGATGCTTATCACTGTTTATTGAGTTTCTAGAGTACATTTAAAGACCAGCAAAGTTTAATGAAACACAACAACGCTTGTTTCTGTGTACTCGAGTGAATGACTCAATGACTTGTTTGCTCTTAAAGGGGTCATATGATGTTGCTAAAAAGAGCATTATTTGGTGTATTTGGTGTAATGAAATGTGTTTATGCGGTTTAAGGTTCAAAAAATTGAAATCGCATCATATGACCCCTTTAACACACAAAAGATTCAGTTGTCGCCACCTGCAGGCGTAAAAGGACACTGAATGAATATGCGAATCGTTAATAGATTCAAAAGATTCGAATCGCTGAGCTGCATCGTGCCAGCCATAGTGGGTACAGGCATGTTTTGCTGAACTTCTCGGGATGTGGAAAAAAGCAAACCTACTAATTACTGAACCTTCTCATGGGAATTGTCCAGAAATGGACTAAATGATGTCTTAATTAGTAAATAATGCCTTAATTAGAATGACATACCAGTTATTAAGATAACCTTCCAAGCAAACATGGAACATTTCCTTGTGTGACTCTTGTTTGGTTATTACAGAGAACCAATTCACAACGTTCAAGCATGGTTCGATTTATTATGAGCCCTTTGAAATTGTACATTCACATTAGGTTGATTCGTGTTTGCCAGTTAATTTGAGTGAGAAAAATCCAATTAAACACCTAACTTGCTTTTTTTTTTAACCAGATCCCATTTCTGTGTCAGGTTTGTCCTGTGTGTCTCGTATTAGCCTGATATTTGAGGGCTTATCCGCGACCACCTTTCCTTTCCAAACCCACACAGTTGCATTCACGCCACGGTTATTATCTCCTCACGGCCTTTACCGCATATCAAACACCGTCTTTTGCTTTCTGGCTCTCGGTAGCAGCAGGTGTTGTTGGCGAAGCCCGAACGCGCCTCCACTCTTAATTCCAGTCACCTCCGTTCCGGAGCCCCGAAGCAAATTCATTTACCGTGGGAGAGACACCGGGGCCAATTGTAGTGGGCACCCTGTGAATTCACGGGGAATCACGCTTCGGAAACACGTGGGAGAGTTGACACAAATAACAGCCCACCGAACCCCAGCAAAACGCCCACGGAATCATCATAAAGATTCACCACAATGCCAAGGTGCGCGTGTAATGGTGCGGATAACGGGGACGAGGCACCGTCTAGCCCGCTTCGAGATGCTTTGACCTTGTGTTCTAGTCATTTGTCCTTCCTCAAGTCTCTTCGCGTGAAGCTCTATCAAGGACGAAGCGCACAACAAGTAGCCCCGACTGAGCCTTCGCTAAGAAAGCATTCGCGTATCATTACGCAACGACAGATCTCCACGGGACCTCAAATCAAAGTTAGTTATCAAATCCAGCACGCCACAGTAATCGCTGTCAATGCAAATGCCCCGAGAGCGCGTGACAATGTCAAACAGTCATTAGTGCGCGCCTGTCTCTTTTGTTTGCGCGCGCTCGGACAATGATGTAAAACAAGGGGGCAAAGAAGTGATGACCCCGTGACAGGTGCGATCGTGCCACCCCCCCCCAACTCCATTGTGCAACCCCACCTGTGCAACCCAGAGCCAGAGGCATCCGTCCAAGGTGAGAAGAAGATACTCCTACAAGTTTAATGGCAACAGAAATAAAAGCACTTACCTTTGCTGTACTCCTCCTCCCTGTTCAGATACATGACTGCAGATTGATGATGGACCCCTGACTGGATGGTGTGGCGTGATTCAAGAGCTTATTGTTACTCCGCCGAGGGAAACTCTTGTGTTTATTATGTCGTTGCTCGGCGGAGAGTCCTCCCAGAATTACGCGCAGGCAGGTTGTCTGCACGCATCTACTCTCTCTCTCTCTCCTTCCTCACACACACACAGACACACACACACACTCACGGTGACGTGCTCTGAGACATTGCCCCGCGGGTGGGGTGGGCTGGGGTGGGCTGGGGTGGGCTGGGGTAGAGGATGCTCCGGAGCTGTTATTGTGTCTATATGCATGCACATACAGTATATGACATCCATCAACGCTTTGACAAAGTGTTATATTGCTGTGGGAATAAAGCGTGCAGACTAAATGGTTTGATTGAACACGTCTGTGTGAGCTTGCTTTGACATTTATTCCTTATAACCAACTATAATCTGCATTTTTATGTCACTATACTTCGCTGTTGCAAGTTGTAGGCTAAGTAAAACAAAATAATAATGGAGTTTTAATTCAGTGTTACTTGCTGTTGCTTTGTAATTGTTTGTGAAACTCACTCGAAATTTCTGAACACCAATTTTTAAATAGTAGCTATCTTTTTCTTCATTTAGCCTACTTTTATTCAGAAAATATACAACAAACAGTGCATGACTAGTATATTTTTAGTATTTAGTAGGTAGCCTACATATTTATAAGGCTACTATATCCCAATATCTTTCAATTATAGTATTGTTGATTACATAAAGCTTGTATTCCTTTGCTGTTACTCACTATCCCATTAATTACAACTAACTATTCCACAGTTACCGGTAACTAATTGCAGATTTTTGCCGTTGAGCAATGGTTATCTATGGTTTCTATCAATCAAATACTTGTTTCCAACTATGCATAGGTTCTTGTTTCTGGTAGCTACCTGTTCTAGTTTTACAGTTATACAATAGTACTTATTTACCATTTAAATATTTACACTCTAAAAAATGCTGGGTTAAATACAACCCAGTGCTGGGTAAAATAGGGACAAACCCAGCTATTGGGTTGTTTTGACCCAGCGGTTGGGTTTCTAACCAGAAGGTTGGGTTATACATTTTACCCAACCGCTGGGTCAAAACAACCCAATTGGGTTGTATTTAACCCAGCATTTTTTAGAGTGTACACTGAAAAAAATGATTCATAGAATTTACTAAATTCTTTTTTTATTTGACTAACTTTCAACATATTTTTCTATTAAATGTAGCTAAAATAAATTGTTTGCAACCACGTACCTTAAAAAAATGTAGTATCATTTTTTTTCAGCGTACTAATATATTTTTCCAGTACTGATTTAACCCTATTCCCCTTATTTTACAATGCAGAAGTGAGCTGTTTTCCGTGAATGTGCGAGACTTCCGGTTCATTATTAGGCCTCTGCAAGAGGTATTGTGCAGTTAACGATAAAACTATTTGTTCTACAAACCAGTGTGTTTATATTTATGGTAATGAATTTAAAAAATGATAACAAATACAAGTCTGCAATATCAAGCGGCATAATGGACTGATCTGCACAAGAAAAATAGCTAGCAAATGACACCGGAAGCCTCGCACATTCAAGTTACAAATGGCTATTCATGCCAAAAATAACACTACCTGTTCATTAGACTAGACTCTTGTATTCCTGTAACATTTGTAGATGCTAGTACTTAAAAAGTAGCCATTTTTACAAGTTAAAAAAGCTATTCATTTATAATAGTGAGAATACGTGCTGCTAGTAGCCTATACTGTAGTGTCTAATAGTGAAGCTGGATTAGTAGCATTTTATATCTTATATTAATTACTTGTAATTTAAAAGGAAATAAATACTTGTAACAAAATAGATACTGGTTAATTGAATGTCAAGTCGGTGAAGGGTTTTGTGTCTTGCGCTTGCGTGTTTGGAAAAAACATAGTTTCTATCCTTTGAGTATTGAACATGCACCTGGTGCCATAGTAGTCAGTGAAACACTAACTGAAGCGCTGCTTTATTAACCCGTTGTTGCATAACATCCCATTTGTGCGCAGATGAGGCACCGCAGGTGGGGCTGGTCGGTCTCCATCCCGATGGGGAAGAGTCCGTGTTCCCAAAGGCTTCCACCCTAAACCTCTATCACCCGGTTCGCACGCACAGGCCTCGAGGGGCCCGTGAAGATGAACAGAAAGAGAGAAGAGCGAACAGAAATGTGAATGACTGTATATCAGCCCTGTCCCGCAGTAAAGCCCTGTGCGTTCACTCGTTGCGCACGCCAATCACGCCTCTCAGACAGCCGAGGAGTTGCGTGTCGAAGGGGCGACTTCTAGCGGTGAGATTGCGCCATTACAAGCAGAACTCACCTACAGTTAAAGAAATGTGACCATACCAGTCTTAAGTCGCTGGGGTATATTTGTAGCAATAGCCAACAATACATTGTATGGGTCAAATTATAGATTTCTCTTTTATGCCAAAAATCATTAGGATATTAAGTAAAGATCATGTTCCATGAAGATATTTTGTAAATGTCCTACAGTAAATATATCAAAACTTAATTTTTGATTAGTAATATGCATTGCTAAGAACTTCATTTGGACAACTTTAAAGCTGATTTTCTCAATATTTAGATTTTTTTGCACCCTCAGAATCCAGATTTTCAAATAGTTGTATCTCGGCCAAATATTGTCTGATCCTAACAAACCATACATCACTGGAAAGCTTATTTATTGCTTTGCATATTAGATGATGCATAAATCTAAATTTTAAAAAAAATTGACTCTTATGACTGGTTTTGTGGTTCAGGGTCACATTTTGTTTCCAAACATTTTTTGTGTTCTTTCCTCCGTGGAACTGAAAAGGAGGCGTTTAGCATAATATCTAGAGAGCTTGTTTTTAATGAAAGTGGATAGGGACGGGTACCGTTGATGTGCAAAAATGTCAAAAAGCAGCATAAATGCAGTCCATATGATATATAAAATAAAACACAGTAATATTGTAAAATACTGTTACAATTTTTTTTTCTATTTGAATATATTCAAAATGTCATTTATTTCTATGATTTTCAGCATCATTACTCCAGTCTTCAGTGTCACATGATCCTTCAGAAATCATTCTAATATGCTGATGTGCTGCTAAAGAAACATTTATATTATTATCAATGTTAAAAATGGTGCTGATTAATATTTTTGTGGAACCCATGATGCATGTTTTAAAAAAATATTTAATCTTTTTTATATAATAAATGTCTTCACTGTCACTTTTGATCAATTTAATGTGAACAATTTAAAATATTATATATATATATGTATACAATTATAAATATAATATTAAAATTGCAATTTATTGTATAAATAATTAAAAAGTTATATATAAAATACATTTAACAGGAGTTACACATCATGCAACATACATTTACGTTTTTTATTTTTATTGAACACATTGCACATTGTATATACCTTACTCAAAAACATTTACAAGAGATTTCAAATCATTTGCGATGTAATTTTCATGTAATCACACATACTGTCATCACAATTTACTTTAAAAAGTAATGCATTACAATATTGCATTACTCCATAAAAACTTAACTGTGTTGCTTAGTTACTTTCTATGCAAAGTAATGCATTACGCTACTTTTGCGTTACTTTTTGTCACCTGGGCTGGGCTTGCTTAGTTATTTTTTATAACCCAAAAAAATGAAAAAGTAATATTTTTTGCAACTCTAAAGGCCCTTTCTCACCAAAAGCCTTCTCTGACACTGTCTTTGCAGGATCAGAAAGCTCTCGCATTTCATCAGAAATATCTTAATATGTGTTCTGAAGCAAAACAAAGGTCTTACGGGTTTAGAACGACATGAGGATGAGTAATTAATGACAGAATTTACATTTTTGGGTGAACTATCCCTTTAAAGCTGTCGGTAAATAAATGGAAAAACAAAGTAACTCAGATATTTTCTTGTAAATTTAAAAGTAATGCATTTCTTTACTAGTTACTTGGGGGGGGGGGAGTAATCTGATTACATGACTCGCATTACTTGTAATGCGTTACACCCAACACCGGTTGTACATGTATGCTCAACTGTCAATTTCATAAATGTCAATGCTGCCACATCCACACGAGCGTGTAATCTTAAATGTGTTGACTTTAACCTTGAAATAATGGCACCCAGCAGAGTACTAATTGACTTAAAAGTCCTGTCCTTCTAAACAAGTGATTTTTGAAATAGAGATGGCACTGATTTCCCTCTCTCTCTGTCTTTCTCTCAGTGTGCAGTGTGCCGAGGATCATTTATGCAGCATGCAGTGGAGAAAAACAGCGGGTGTCCTTCTGAGAACATCATTGGTGGCCATAGAAATGAATTTCTAGTCAGTTCCAGACCTGCACCGCAGGCCTCGCTGACACACAGCGCAGGCCTGACGGCTTCCTCTCACAGGAGCAGCACTTCCTGCAGGCACTCATTCATCTTTAATGCTGCTTTAGTTCTTTTTTTTTAACGTAATGGTTTTGAGAACTGCCCCCCTACCGTTTGAGTTAATTTAGAGAGCAGCTTGGTGGTTGTTCAGACTGATAATGTACCGGAGTGATGG